TTCGAGCCACGGCAGCGAGTGTGAAGGGTTCCATTTCTCGCTACCACGACACTTTCGTTCTCGATTCTGCTCGCGCGGAGTGCCATCGATTCGTCCGACCGCCTCGTCCGTCCTCCTGCTACTGCCACTTCTCCACCCTCCATCGCCGTCTTGCGTCGTTACCTCCAACGTTCCTCTCCTCCAACAGCTATCTTCCTCATTACACGACTAGCTCTTCGGTTTCCACCTCTTGTCGCGAAATCAAAGAGGAACGGCATGACGTGGAGGGTGGCTCGCCTGCAACGAGAAAATTTCGACGTCGGTTGCATTTTTAAATAGACCTGTTCCTTAAATCGCGACACCGAACACCATAAGTGGATACCTGTATCCAATTTTCTGTCACTGTGTTTTCTGGGCAAATTATGCGGCAACGATTACGGCAACGATTACAATCACCAGATTGGCTCGATCAAGTTGAAACTATCGAGTTGCCCGTATAAATTATGCGAGAGAACGAACAAACGAAATGTCGTGAAAGATGGAAATAAACCGTACAATTTTCCTCCGGAGGAGGGAAAACGTTTCACACCACTGGCGAGGCTTAATCGTCGCGTGTCATGCGACCGGTTACGATTTAATTAAACGGATGTAGGTCAAATTAGACCTGGCGAGAAGAAAAGTATAATCGCGGTTCACGATCCACGCAGCGAGTCACGCATATCCAGCGTGAAAAGGGTTGAGAAGGCAAGGTCTTGGGGCAAGAGGGGTTGCACCGGCGACGAGAGGTCGACCACCGAGGGTGCCGGAGACATTTTCGAATCTGTTTAATCTCGGTCCGCGGTGCGTAAGTGAAAGCTATCTCCGTGAATGCAAAATCAAACAAAGCGACAAACAATCTGACTGTCTTCGTCCCGTCTGCCATCGGCTCCTCTGTCTGTCTCCTCTTCTCCTACGAGCAGAGCATCGACAGCAGCCAAAGTTGCTACGAGCTGGCGCGAGATTACGCCCCTTGCACCAACGCTTTGATGTGTGCACTCGACACCATCGTGTCACACTCCAAGTGTTTATGAGGCGAATCTTTTTCTCCTTCTCCTTCTCTCGTCTCTCCCTTCTCCTCCCTCCTGTCTCCTCTCTATCTATCTCACCCTTTCTCCCACTCTTTCAGCCACCTCTCCATTTTTTCCCTGCTCTCGCTTTCGCTGTGCTCTTCTGATCGCTGCTGAATGCGACCCACCATCCCTCTCTCTCTCTCTCTCTCTCTCTCT